ATAATATATATATATTGACACACCAGTCTGTCCAGTTCTGGTAGAGTAGATCAAAATACATAGGAATTTGATAAGCTACGGGGTGTGGATAACGTTTAAATGACATTAAACTCGGGTTATAAATCTTAAAAATGCATTAAAGTACCTTTTTTAACTATTAACAAAAAAGTATCTTATTTGTGTATCACTCGGCCTTAGATCCCCAAATCAACTCTGAATTGGTGCAGACTCTATCCTTCCTTCTGGAGGGTGGCTACTTTTGTTCCCCATGGTCCCTGTGTGTTGTAAAGTAGTCACCGCTCCAAGCTCACTCCTGTGATGGACTACAATCTCAATAGAAATTAGTAAACTAAACCTGAGATTGTAGTCCATCACAGGAGCGAGCTTCGAGCGGTGACTACTCTACAACACACACACAGGGACCATGGGAATAAAAGTAGCCACCCTCCAGAAGGAAGGACAGTGTCAGCACCAATTCAGAGATTTGAGGATCTACAGCCGAGCGATACACAAATAAGATACATTTTAGTTAATAGTTACGGTACTTGAATGCATTTTTAAGATTTATCACCTGAGTTTAGTGTCACTAAGTTTTTAGATATCCTTTCGCTGAAGCTGCATACATCCATGGGTGGAACTTAAAAAGAGCATTGATAAATTCCGTGCACATGCCCTGTACAGTGGGATGATGGGCATCTGTTATGGACAATGTGAGGCTGCCCTGTACAATGGGACAATGGAAGTCTGCCCTAGGTGTTTTTTTTTTTTGAGTCCTCTCGCATATCTGCATAACATCTCTATTATAGATCTGATATGGGCTCATTAGAATTCTGAGCTCTCGGTTCTCTTTTAATTATCTGGTATTTCTAAATGATATTTGGGTTTGATAATGGCTTCTATTTGAAGAACTATTTAAATGTGTCAGGAGTGGCATTGAAATGCTCCAGTGTGAGGCAGGTCTGTCCTCTGTGCTTTGTGTTGGATCGGTCTACTGAAAGGAGTTTTAGTCTGGATATGAAAGTGAGCGCGCTCGGTCTGGCTGGTGTCCACGTTCACTAAAAAGATTACTTTTCTCGTGTTGTACGTGCTGCTGTATTTACTGGAAACCACAGCTGCCACCTTTTTTTTTTTATAGGCCAATCTTCATAGGCCAATCTTCATTCGGTACCGTAGCAGATCAACTGATTGGTTGTTACAAACGCCGGGAGTATTAAAAAAATGTACCCTTGTAGTGAGGCTACCCCTGCACTGCTCGTTTTGTCTAGGGGAGTCAATTAAAGTAGATATCGCCTGATCCTCTGGGCTGCTAGACCAGTCCCTACAGCCTCTTCTCCCCTGGGCTCTGGCAGTCTAAAGACTGCGGCCTTCATCACATCTAATGCAGGTCTATTGACTTGTACCCTGTTTCCCCGAAAATAAGACCTACCCCAAAAATAAGACCTAGTACTATTTTTGGGAATTGCTAAAATATAAGACCTACTCCGAAAATAAGACCTAGTTGTGACCCTTCCCAGGGCCGGCGGTGGCATAAGGGGGAACTTGAAGAGCCGCAGGAGAGAATCAGCTGTGCCAACAAAGCCAGCGAGGCGGCACCGGAGGGAGCAGAGCCGCATAAGCCGATGCTTCCTCTATAGCGCCAGCTCCCGTCACTGGCAGAGTGACACCAAATGCCTGTGAGGCTTCGCTCATTCTGGCCAGCGATTGGTTAGCAAATTGCTCTTGGAAAGGTACGGCACCCTTGATTGCCCTGATCACCATATTTTTGTACATGAATACATGTAGCCTGTTGTACATAAAAAATAAAAATAAAACCTACCCCGAAAATAAGACCTAATGTGTTTTTTTGAGCCAAAAAAAATATAAGACAGTGTCTTATTTTCGGGGAAACACGGTATTAGACATGAGGATGCCAAGGGGCATTCCACATCTAGAGCGGAGAGAGGTGAGTGCTGATAGAGGATCAGAGGAGGATATCTGCTTTATTTTAGCCCCCTTCACAAACTGAGCACTTAAAGTAGAATTAAAGTCTCTCGTTTTTTTTTGTTTTGTTTTGTTTTTTAACATATATCTACTGCTAGCAAGCAATAAGGCAAATTGGTAAAAACCTACCTGTGTCTACGCCTGCTCGGGCAGAAAATACCCGTCCGTTCTGCAGAGCTGTTACCGGCTGATAGCCTGCTGATCGCTTGTATGTTGTGGCTGTGCGCCCCCCCCTCCTCGAGAGCCGCCGTTGCCCCCCTCTCCTGCACTCTCACCTTCAATCCCGGGATCCGCTACCCCATCTGCGGCCCGGGAGGGTGTCGGGAGGTAGATGGGAGTTCAGCATCTTCCTCTTTGCTGATCTCTCTCCGTACTGTGAATGCGGAAGTGATGTGTAATACATCACTTCCGCATTCACCTGTAAGTCCTCTGGCTGCTATTGCCAGAGAGAAGAAGCTGATTAAGTAGATCTCTGCTTCATCGCTTCTTTGGGGGTCACCAGGTGACAAAGGTCTTAGAGACCCCTAATGTCTCCATAAAGAAGACCTGTCAGTGTTCCTGTGCTAACACATAGGGGGATTGTTATCCCCTATGTCATAGCAATAACATTAAGTGTAAAAAAATAAGTCTCATGTAAAAAAAAAAACAACATTTTTAAAGTCCCCCACCCCCCACGTTTATGCACAAATAAACGTAACTATGCTTATTCAGGCAAAGTGTCTACAATTGTCACTTTGGTTTCCTGAAGAAGGGACCTATATGGTTCTGAAACGTCGCTATACGATGTGACAATTCTTTTGTCAAAAAAAGAACATTGACTGAAATTCTTATTGGAGTGCGAGTGACTTTTCTACCACGTGACGCTGATCAACAGAGGCATTTCCTGTCATCTCAGCGCCCACCCACTATCTTGGGTTACACCTGGTCAGGAGTGCGATGGGATCTTCTTGACAGTTTGTGACCAGAACAGGAGTAGGGGGAGAAGGTTACCAATGCAGACACATGGCCTGGCGACAATGCTCAAAATGGGACTTCTGCTCACTTTGGAGAGATTTCCTCTCATTTCCGTTTGTGCCTTTGGGACAAGTGAGGAGAAATCTCTGCAGTTGGCATGCAAACGGCCAAGAAAAACCAGACAGAGGTCCTAACCCTTCCCGCACCTCCAAACATTGTAATAGGGCAATCACATGCTCCATGTCTCCAGTTGGTGAAGGCAGTTTGAACTCCAGCCTGCATACCGTACTTGTTTCAGTGATTTGGTGAATACTGTAGAGATTGACAGTCCAGGATGTTTGCAGAGTGCACTCCTACATATCCATCGTCATAAGCCCAGAGTGGTTTTTCTTGCTCTTCAACAAATGAACTATTCTATTGAGCTTTCAGAGCCTAGCCTACACACAGATGACGTATGTCAAGAATGAGGTATTAGTAAACCTTCTAATTATAGAATATGTCTGTATTGGGCCACCTGCAGAAGAAAGGAGTGAAGCCGGCCATAGAGATTAGAGAGTAGTTCAACATGAATGCTCTTATACATATGGCCATGAAGACTCAAGTGTGTGTGTCTTCAGTGGATGCCACCTGCAGCCGAGTCATTGGGAGGAGATGGTAACGGCTGTACTGGGAAATTGAACTTGGATGATAGACATCAGAAATTCATGGGATAGATGTACTAGAGATTAGAAACCACAACTCTTGGTTCTGGCTGACTGACAAAAAAGGTTCTGCATGTCTTGGACAGACCCATAGATGGCCATCAGTCAATTGGACAGTTCGTAAGACTGGTGGATGTCATTGTTCTGGAACTTCACCTTCTGATGCTTCGCCATGCACTATCTTTACCCGTCTGATGCTTCGCCATGTAAGGCCCCGTTCACACTTAGCGATTTTATTGCGCAGTAATTCCTGCGATATCGCCGCAATTTACCGTGCGATATCGCTCTCTAATGCTTCTCAATGGGGCAAAGGGTCGTGCGTCGCTACAGCAGGACCCTTTTTGGAGCGGATTTAGCCGCGATTCAAGCTTGCTCAATGCAAGCATTTGCGCGATATTGCGCAAAATGCAAATCGCGCGACAAATGCGCGATTTGCGAATCGCGCAGTGTGAATGGGGAATAATATCTTTACCCGTCTGATGCTTCGCCATGTAATATCTTTACCTTTCTGATGCTTCGCCGTGTAATATCTTTACCTTTCTGATGCTTCGCCATGTAATATCTTTACCCGTCTGATGCTTCGCCATGTAATATCTTTACCCGTCTGATGCTTCGCCATGTAATATCTTTACCCTTCTGATGCTTCGCCATGTAATATCTTTACCTTTCTGATGCTTCGCCATGCACTAGCTTTACCCTTCTGATGCTTCACCATGCAATATCTTTACCCTTCTGATGCTTCACCATGCACTAGCTTTACCCTTCTGATGCTTCGCCATGTAATATCTTTACCCTTCTGATGACAATCGGGACTGCTACGTGTACCCAGAAATGTCAAATTTTGGTTATGTAGATAAAAAATTGCCATTTGCATTGGTGGGCTCCTTTTGCACATGTAGAAGATGATGTTGGCCAGCACAATTCAGTTTTGTTTTACAGAGCTCTACGGTGACCATTGGGGTAATGTTGGTCACTACTGCTGCTCTGGTTCCCCAGTTGTTTATTCCTGGCCACTAATAAGGGCCTCCTGTAAACTATTATGGATGGCTCATGGCGTATGGCTTGTGATGTACACGAAGTTGTAAATTGCATGAAGCAAAAACTCTTTTCTGTTGGGAACTGGGTCTACTTGTACTCCAGACACAGCTATCTATAATTACTGAACCTTCTTTTTTCTTTCTTAGGAATTTTTGCTTACCTCAACTACCGTGTGCCCCGCACCAGGCGTGAGATCCTAGAAAGACTTATCAAAGGTCTACAGAGGTTGGAATACAGAGGATATGACTCTGCAGGTAAGAGCTGGGGGATATCTGATGCTGCAATTGTTCATGCTCTGCAGTTGTACTCATGTTTGATGTACAGGCAGGAACAGAAGAAGGGTCGCTTTTCTAGTGAATGGATTGGCCAGTTTTGGTTTTGGTTCGGCCTTACAATTCCTGCTGCAATAAATCCACTTGACACTAGTAATATATAAATAGCCACATAAGAAGACTCCAGTTTAGATTTATGGAAGCTAAAGGGATTATTTATTGATTGGGATATCTTATCACCTATTTGTCCAGTATGCATATCTTATTTGAAGTGAGGGAAAAATGCTGTTTCTCGGGATGGAATGGAGAATTCCCTTGTGCTGCAAATTAGGTGGGTTCCCAGATTTGCTGCAGGGTCTGGAACTACACACACTGGATGACTGGCTCAAGGACTCAATTTTTGTTAATGCAAACCCCCTAGTATATTTGTTAGATGCTCCATCATTGCATAGACAGCACATGGAACTGATAGTTTGTTTGGTTATCTCAACATCACCTCATTTTCAGTTATATCCTATTTTTTATCACTTTTATTTTTAAAGATTTCTTCATTTAAAAGTAATGTGTCACAAGGTGATATACTCTGATGGCTGCTTGCTAGTTCCTCTGCAGACCCATCACTCAGTGAAGCTGATCGGGTCCAGATTGACTGCCTGGACCTAGTGTGTAGCCTAATAGAATGGCAGCTTCCAGCAGATGTTTATTTCATCAAAACACATTTTATTAACGAGAACTATGGCCAAGCCTTTTTTGGCATTGGTTCTGTTTTGGGTCACAGGAGGACATTTACGAATGTCCTCCTGTGACCCAAAACTCGGCATATAGCAGGATTTTGCCTTCTATATGGTGACAGTGTAGAGCCAGACTGCAGGCAAGGAGGATTCTGACAATTTTGTTGGGATCCACCCTGCCACCTGATTGACAGCTGGATCTACCTGTCTAGAACCAGAGCCAGCTGTGCCCACCCCCTCCCCTGTCTGTCCCTCCAGTCAGTGCTGGAGGAACTGAGGTGGAGGGGGGGGGAGGAGGAGATGACTGACATCATTGTTCTCTACAGGGAGAAGACCGGCAACTGAGAGATCGGTGGTTTGTGATCGTCTCAGTTCTCGATTTATAGAGCCGTTGGGTGACAGCTTCATCTTACTATGGGGATGAGTGCATTTTACTCCCCTCATAGCTTTCATTTAACCTCATTCATATGACTATGCACACACGATAGGTGGAAAACTATTTTTTTTTTTTTTTTCCATACCTTGTTCTTTTCCATAGTTCTCTGGACTTCTATTACTTGTCTTCATTAGGCACTTGTGATACGTCTCTGCCCTCTAGTGACTTATTAATTGAGCATCTTTGAGTGAATGTGCATTGTCCCTTGCAGGTGTCGGTATTGATGGCGGCAATGAAAAGAACTGGGAGAACAACGCCAAGAAAATTCAGCTCATTAGGAAGAAGGGGAAGGTCAAGGCTCTGGATGAAGAAATAAACAGTACGTGACATTTTTTTTTTCCCCATTGAAGATTTAGTGATCGTTTCCTTTTGGAATAGGAGATTGATTTACCCAAACGTCAAATGCACCCTGCATTTTCCAGCAGAACCTTCCAAGGTTTTGTGGGAAGAAAAAAAAAAGGCAGAACTGTAATATTGTCACACTGCTGAGTCTCATAGTTCGTGGTGTCAGTTTGCAGGGACATTTATCTTTAAATGCCGTTCTTGACTCGCCTTACCAAAATGCTTGAGGCTTTCCTCTTCTGCTCGCCCTGGTTTTCAGCCATGGGACGTGAAAAGCAGCATTTCCAGTCTTGCAGAGAGCTAGCTTCATGTACATGCAACCAATCACCCCAGCCAGCTCTGTATGCCCTGGGAGACAGGTTGCATCAATGACCTGTTGACATCACTATGCTTCCTGAGATAGGAAGAGCGCTGTACTGGATACTAGAAATGCAGTCTAGCCTCGGCTCTCCCCACTCAAAACTGCCCACCTCTGCTAGCTCAGCGTCCCCTCTATTGCTATGCACAGCATAGTCCTTGTCTCTGAAGCAACTGACAGCTGCTGAGCTGTGAGAGCAGTAGAGAGGTCTACCCATTTATTTTCCCCTGTACTGACGAGCCCATTGCCTCTGATTGTGCATTAGTCACTGGCAGAGATTAGGCTTTTACATGGATACCCTACATCAATATGAAATGATGCAGATTACCCTGTGCACCCCTGTGCCTAGCTCCTGGGATAGATCTTTTGCAGCCCCTGTGATGACATCATAGCCCTGGGACAAAGCCATACAAATTAATACAAAGCAACACTACACAGGGGAAGGTTTAAAGGTACATGTATGCTGACTGGAGTTCAGCTTTAAGATATTTGGGAAGTGCACTTTAGGCAGAAATGCCCCATTTTGATGCTTGTGTTCTGGCACTGTAGGAAATGTCTGGATCCTTTAGAAGTGATGATGCCATAACTGTATACACAGAGATGCAGTCTTTGCATGATTGCATCTACCATGCAGTCCACATAAGATGGGTCTATTGATTTAAATATTGATCAGCAGTATATTATCATGTAAATATATTGGTTCTGCCACAAATCATTGGGTCGGTATGTTTGCTTTGTGTGTGGATATCATAACTAGAAATTGGCTGTCCAATGCACCCACATCGATGAATCTTCAATCTTGCAATTCTGAAGGTTACAGACCACAGAGATGTAGAAATATGATGATCTCTTTAGTTACTATAAATATCTTTGCGGTTAGCAGTGCTTCCAGCTCTTTAGAAGTGGTTCGGACGTGTTGCTCTGGCTTCAGATAAATTAATGACATGTTAAGACAGCAGAATAAGTGGCTGCGGTATACATGGGCAACGGGTCACAGCATGACATTCTATTCCTTTGGGATTTTTTGGGAGTTTAATATTTCCCTATAGCTGTCTGTTTACCCTGTTTGAGCTAGTTGGCATCAATACCACTCTGTAGTAACTGTTAGAAAGGTTGATTTTCTATATTTTCCAAATCACACTGTATAGTGTACAAGTTTTTGTTTTTTTTTCTTCATCCTGGCATCACATGCAGCGGAGGATTGTACACATGAATTTAATCAAAATCCTCTCCCTCACCCCTCTTCAGTGTCTCTGAAATCTGAAGCTGCTTTCAGCAAACTTGAGTTATTGAAATACCTGGGGGGGGGGGCGAGGTCTCCAGCTTGCAGGGGCCAAATACTTCTTTCCGTTACCAAATGCTAAGAAAATATTTTTTTTCCGTTAAGAAGAAATTGGGCACCAGTGCTCCAGTGTCACGTGGACATCACCGTTAAGAGTTAATTGTTTTTATCTTGGAGAGCTGTAATGGATCCCACCCTGGCAGCAACAGAGAACTGAGTCCCAAGCCAATTCACAATGCCTACGTGGACGTTCAATGGAAGAGCAATGCTGAGCTCCTCTTAATGACGTGTAGCCTAACATGTGCTCCTTTTCCTGGGCCCAAAGCCTGGTCTAAACATTGTTATCCAACAAAAACAGTTTCAGGAAAATGTCATTTATTCACAACCCCCCTGCAGCTTCATGCCTGCCAAAGGATTTCATTATGGGATGGAGAATTTAGGTAAAACTAACCCTAGTGAGATTTGAAGAAATACATATTCCAGATGACCTCTGGCTCAGTTGGAAGGTCCTATAATGGTTACTTTTATTTTCCCTTTTAACTGGCTGTTTACTTGATTTGACTTTTTTTTTCTAATTTGTATCCAGCTTTGTTCTGATTTATTTCCAATTAATTTCCTTGTGCGGTTCATTTCCTCTGTAAATTCGTTTTTTCTGATTGCTCGTAATTAAACATGCTTACATGTGGTTTCCTAAAGGGGCCCAGCTCCTCAGATTGTGCAGGAACTGTCAGACTCTTGGAGGATTCCATGTCAATTGACACATAAGGAACTGCATTGGCCCCCAAAAAACATAAGGGATCGACACGTCATCACATATCCAGAAAACAATCAGTTTATTCCTGATTGCAGAATAGCAGACCGACAGATCATACCCTTATGTCCCTGCGGCTAATGATGCTTTCAGAAATACATTTCGTATACTCGTATAGCCTGAAGAGATGGTGATTCTGCTAGAATTTAGCAGTTTCAGCTTGTCAGCTTTTGTTAAGCTGGCCATACACCTTACAATTATCTGCAGATTTTCTGTGGTCAGATGGAAAAGGTGCAACAGATTCCACCATCTACACTTACCTGTGTAAGTATTATCTGTGTAATCTGTTGCCCTTTTTCCATCTGACCACAGAAAATCTGCAGATAAATTGTAAGGTGTGTGTGTGTGGGCAGCTTTAGTGTATGATATGGAGCCTGATTTCTACATATGCGGCTGCGCATATTAGGCAAACCGTGCATTGGCTAGAACTAAAGCTTAAGATTTATTGCTATTCTGTGAGCAGAGAACAATGGCAAGCTGGCAGGAAATTTATATCCCAATGAGCAAATGTTAAAACCTTTGGAAGACTTAGTATTTTCCCCAATGCATGCTTAAAGGGGACCTCTTAACTTAAAGTGGAAGTTCACCTGAGTTACTGTATGAACATTAAAGTGACACACAAATAAGATAGTTCTCCTTTAACCATTAACATACTATCTTATTTGTGTGTCACCGCACCAAGCTCACTCCTGTGATGGACTACAATCTCATGTTTAGTGTACTAATTTATATTGAGATTGTAGTCCATCACGGGAGTGAGCTTGGTGCGGTGACACACAAATAAGATATTATGTTAATGGTTAAAGGAGAACTAAGGCATAACTTTTTTTTATTTTCTTTTGGCCATAGTTCTCTTCAGGGTCACAGGAGGACATATACAAATATCCTCCGGTGACCCAAAACTCACTATATAGCAAGCTAATGCCCGCTATATGCTGAGTGCAGAGCCACGCCGCAGCCAGGATGGATCCTGACAATACTGTTGAGATCCAGCTGGCTGATTGACAGCAGGCTCTGCCTCTCTAGAAATGTTGCCCTCACACTCGAAGGCTTTCCTTTACACCATGAGAAACTAGAACACATGTGCGTTCCCCCTAACCGGAGCAGTAACCTGTACATTACCCCCCTTTTCCTGTCCGTCCATCTCAATTAGATCTGCACCCCTGGGACATTACAATAGCAGCAGATATTTGCGCTCTGCTAAATTAAAACCATTTCTAGGTAACTTGCACAATGGCTGCCCGCAGAGTGACTTATGGAGCAATGTTCCTCTGGATTCTCTGTGTGGTATTCATTTTTGGGAATCCGGCCTGGCCTCTTTTTGTATCCTAGTAATGAGAAACATAAATGATTGGGGGGAAAAGTAAAAATTGGCTTTATTTGCAGTAACTGCCACTTATGGATGTGCTTTTCAAAGTTGCCATACTTGTACTGATCATGAAAAGCTTGACAGACTGCGCAATACACAAAGCTAAAACACCGGGATAAGGATTCTTATTTCCAACAATCTAACCGTTCTATTCAGCTAAAGCCAATGAGTTTTAAAAATAAGAGTCACGTGACTAAATATCATTATGCAGTGGAGCCTATTTGTCTTTGTAGTAAGACATTTTAGGTTACAAAAGGCTTAGAGTCTGACCAACAATTATGTAAAGTGACTGGATACAAACCCAATGGGTTGTTTTTGGTAAGCGGTCACACACTCCAAAGACATGTTGGAAGGTTAGTTGGCTCCTGTCCATATCGGCCCTGTATGTATGTGAGAAAAGGACCTTAGATTGCTGGCTCCTTGGGGGCAGGGACTGATGTGAATGTGCACAATGTAAGCAATGTAAAGAGCTACGTAAACTGTCGGTACTATAGAGATACCTGTAATAACTAAATAGTTGTTGATGGATCTAAAAGGAGATTGTAAAGATTTTTAAAACCATTACATATAATTTAATGTTATGAGAAGCTGTAATTCGGGTTTTGATGTCCCTTAGCACTGTACCTCTTGCCTTTTTGGAATACTGCAAACCTGTCAATGTTTATTTTACAGAGCAAGAAAGCCTGGACCTGGATATTGAATTTGAGATTCACCTGGGCATTGCACACACCCGTTGGGCCACTCATGGAGAGCCCAGCCCTACCAACAGCCATCCACAGCGCTCTGACAAAAACAACGGTAAGTCAAAATAGCATTACGGTCTGGATTTTTTTTTTTTTGGTTTAATGCATACTCTGCATTAAGGTAAAACCGCCCAGTACCTTTTTCACTCCCCCTTGCCCCCCACACTTGGCTGTAGGCTCCTTTTCCCAAAGCGAACCTCAGTTTCCTGTTCTTCCTGGTTGCGGGGGGAGGATACTGATGGCAGAGGAGCCATAGGCTCCTTCCGCCATCAATTAAACTGAGGAGGGGTGTAGCCTGCCACAGGGCTGTGCCTCCACAGCAACTACGGAGGATGAGGGCTGTGGGGACCCATTAGAAAACAAGAAATTATATATATATATCCCTCCCCCCCCTATATGGCAGAAGTAAGGTGGTTAAATACCACTAAAAAGCTCTATCTGTCTCAATACAATTTTATATAAAATTAATTTGGGTTTACTATTGCATGATGTAGTATTTTGAGTCAGAGCACTAAACGATGAATTGGTAATGAAGGGTATATACCGTCTGGTACTGAAGTAGTTAAGCTTGGTGTCCCTTTTTCTGGTTTACTAGCTGTTTTCTTTCTCTGTTGGAAGTAATTAGAACGTTTTGTAGTTTAGACTATTTTATGCCTATTTTATAATTCTGTGTGCTTTTTGTTTTGTTTTTGTCATTTTTTATGGTTTGCGTATTGGGTAATTACACAGAGATTCATTGCTTCCAGCAATAGCACAGCCTTCCCCCTTCCTTTCCTGCCATCAATTACATGCAGGGCCTCCCTGCAGGGAATGCACATGTGTAGAGGGGTACAGTGTATCCTGAACAGACTTCTACCTCCTGCATTTTGGTACTAAAAAACAGCACAAGACACGAGGGTTCTATATTTTTTAGTGGGGAATATAAATAGTGTGGAATACAGTAAGTGGGAAGATATTTGCAAGGGATTAATGTGACTATGTGGTGGGTTTGTTTTTTGTTCTTATGGTTTGGTGGGACTATAAAGCAGACATATGGCTTCCAGATTTTTCCTGTCTTTGAATCATTCATAATTGACTGTTTTTCTAACACCAGGAAATAATGTCACATTCCTTCCCCCCCCCCCCAGAGTTTATCGTGATCCACAATGGCATCATCACCAACTACAAAGACCTGAAGAAGTTCCTGGTGAGTTATGGAACAGAGCACACAAAATGTGGAATTCATACAAGTCTATGTAAACCAGTGACATGTTTTATGCTTGTGAATACAACTTTTGTTTAATAACCTAGTACAGAGTTGTGTGGTGACCTATTACAACCAATCATAAATCGGCATACGTTGGTCTGCCTGCACCACATGAGTGGTAAGGTTGTCATACGATAGAAGCAAAGTTGAGGCTATGGCATATAGGCTCTAAAGATTTTATTTTTGGGGGGGCATCAAAGTCACCTAAGAAGTAATGGCCACCAGCCAATCTCCCGCCAATAAAAAAAAGTAAAAAAGTAACCCCTTGCGGTGGGGCTTCTCCTGCACGGCAAGGGTTCATTGCTCGCTTTTTGTTTAAAGGAACTGTGTAAAGCACTCTTACTCACCTGATTCCTGCAGGCGATATGATCGGCAACCACAGACTTCTTTCCCCTAAGCTCAGATGGTCAGAGGCCCGCTGACATCATCACATATACAGGTGAAACTCGAATAATTAGAATATCGTGCAAAAGTAATTGCAGTAAGTGCTGCAAAAGGGGCCCAAACCAAGTACTGAGTACATATGCATGCTTGTACTTTTCAGAGGTCCGATATTGTTCTATGTACAATCCTTGTTTTATTGATTGCATGTGATAATCTACTTTTTTGAGGTTGTGGATTTGGGGTTCTTGGGGTTTTCATGAGCTGTAAGCCATAATCATCACAATTATGACAAATCACGGCTTGAATTATCTTGCTTTGCATGTAATGAGTCTATCTCATATATTAGTTTCACCTTTTAAGTTGCATTAGTGAAATAATAAATTAACGATATTCTAATTATTCGAGTTTCACCTCTAATGCAAGGTTTGGCCACAAGCTGGTGCAGAGGGGAAATAGAAGTGAGTGCTGACTGCCACAGGAGCAGTCCTCTTCCCTACACAAAAACCTGGCTGTGCCAGAGTAGGTCTGTGAAGGTTCTCATTCATCCAGGTCATGGTATATCTGTAATAAATCAAGGCAACTGCACTTGCTGTATTTTTTGGAAGAATTGAGAAAACTAGTTGGATGACCAGTGAAAGATGGTGCCAGAGTAGCCCCACTGTAAAGGTAGTTTTTGGGGGTTTTTTTGTACCTGGAGATGGGCTTTAGCAAGTGCTCCCTGCTTTTATCTCCTCATCGTTGCTGCAGTGTATATACCTGAATGGTATCTCCTATGTTTTTGTTTTTAATTTTTTTTTCCTCTAGGTTTGGGATAGTGGGGAAAGGTTAGACCCATTGTCAAGTTTTCACCCCTCCAGTTGTAATGGTGATAATTAGAGGTGTACTGAAATAGAAATTTAAAAACAAAACTGAAATAAAAAAAATTGTCAGGCCGAAACCAAAAATGTTTTTAGCTTATTTTTTTCTCAAATTTTTTTAAATTTACTTTTTTATTTTTTTATAAAACGTCTTCATCTGAATTTTTATTTTTTATAGCAGCTGGGTGGATCCAGACAGCATTGTCGGGATTCGTTCCGTCTGCGGCGTCTCAGTATACCGCGAGCTGTAGCTCCCTATATACTGAGCTTTGGGTGACAGGAGGACGCTAGTTTGTGTCCTCCCGTTACCCTAAGGAGAACTATGGGGGAAAGCCCTGACCCCATAGTTCTCCTTTAATGGTTGACTAGAAGCATAAGCAGAGCAATCCAACTAAAAGGTCACACCTATTCATGACCTCTTTTAAAGTGACATTAAACCCTCAAATTTTTTTAACATAAAACAATACTGTAATGTGCGCCTTACTGTAATCCATGGTTGTTTCCCTTCTCTTTGCTGCTCTTCCTTCCTCATGTCTTCTCATGCTTGGGGAGAACTTCCCTTTGCAGCTCAGGGCCTCTTCCTGTAGTGCTGGCTCAGGTTTCAAGCCTATACAAACGTATACACAGACACCGTGTATCCATTCCTGAGACAAGGCAGTCTGCTGCAAAACAGAAGTTCTGCCCCAGCATGAGAACAGATACAGATTTAAAACGAAGAGCAGCAAAGAGAAGGGAAACAACCATGGATTACAGTAAGGCGCACATTACAGTATTGTTTTATGTTAAAAAATCTGAGGGTTTAATGTCACTTTACATTTTTGTATTTTTTACTTTTAGGGGCTTCTGAGAAATATTGGGGGTCTAAACAGACCCCTGATATTTCCCTTTTTAAAATAGAAAAAGAGATTCGACAACACAGTCCTCAATCTCTTTTTCTGCAGCCCCTGTTATCAATGAACCGGAATCCTCTTCATTGATAACTTGAGAACATAGTATGTTTACTATAACTACAACTATGAATGAACAGGAGCTGATTGTAGATCACTCCCATTCATTCATAATTGAGGATATAGTCAACATGCCATTTTCGGCCGATATGTTTCGGCAGGCGATATATCAATGCATCCCTAGTGATAATAGAGAAAAATCCAAAATTTTACGGTTGTCCCCAAAACAAAAGTTGTGGAAATCTTCCAATTGGGACATCTGTTCTGGGGACGTGTCTAAGAATTCCCCTCACTTTTGGAGATTTCCTATAACTTTGTTTGTCTCTGGGAGAGGAAGAAAAGTAGATTATCCACAATTGTACACGGACAGGAAAAAATAACCTGGCAGGGGTTTAACCTTTCTATCAAAAAAATAAATTTAATGGCGCTATATCGATTTTGCTTTCCAGCCTATCCCTTGTACTTTTTAAAAGCTGTTGCAGGTAACATCGAAAAAAACAAAGTTCTTTTGGCTTTTATATTTTGGCATGTTAGAGTTTTGTAGATTTGAGAAACCTTTTGCCTAAATTTAAAGGAGAACTATGAGGTGTGCTTTTCACTCTCCTCATAGTTCTAGCCGACTGTGACCATGAGACTGTCACAGGTTGGCTCAGTAGATCGGGAGGTGAGCATACCGGCGTTCGCTCACCTCTCGATCCTGTCACGGCTCTCTGCCTTGACAGGGGAGGGGCTGGATTCCCCCCTCCCCGCTCCGATCCGCCAGCGCTGACTGGCGGATCGGACGGGGTTGAGGGCGGGTACAGCTGGCTCTGCCTCTAGATAGGCAGAGCCAGCTGTCACTCAAGCAGCTGGGCGGATCCAGACATAATTGTCGGGATCCGCTTCAGCTGTGGCGTCTCAGTATACTGAGCGTTAGGGTGATGGGAGGATGCTAGTTTGTGTCCTCCCGTTACCCTAAGGAGAGCTATGGGGAAAAGCCTTAACCCCATAGTTCTCATTTTAACCTCCCTTTTGCATGCCCACTGGATGGAGAACTGTGTACGTGAGTGGTATGAAAATTGTACATGCTGATGTATACTGATGTTGTTTTTGCTGTCTGCAGGAAAGCAAAGGCTACGAGTTTGAGTCTGAGACTGACACAGAAACCATTGCCAAGCTTGCGAAATATATGTATGACAATCGGGAGAATAATGAGATCAGCTTTGCCACCCTTGTTGAGCGGGTCATCCAGCAGCTGGTAAGGAGAATCGTTATGTGCATTTTATGAGGCCAACATCCTGTTTCATAATACAGAAGATATCTTTTGTGTTTTTTTTTTTTTTTTTTTTTCCCCTTAAATTCAAACTGACTTTTCTCAAAATAATTTCCATGGTGCCCGCAATTTTATTTTCAGATCAGACCCGCAAGTACCTGTGATTATCTTCAGCTCAGTACCCATAGCCATGTGGAGCCCCCTGTATCCTAGGTCCGAGCTTTACATGGGACCCAAACTTCTGCCCTAGTCGAGCTTAGCCCCTAGTGGTAAGCTCGTCTGCTGTTATTGACCTGTCAGATTCTAGGATTTTGGTGAACAAGTAGAGGCTCTGGCATTTCACCATTGAATGGCAGGGTCGGGGATTGAGAGGTGGTTGAACCTTAATCAACATTTGAAGCCGAAGACCTTTAATCCAAGGGAGATCCACGGGGTTGTGAACTGAGGACTAAATATGTATTTGCAGGCAGGTACCAGAAGGCATTTTCTCACTCCTGATACTTTAGACTGGCTTAGCTTCACTTTAAAGGAGTCCTCCATCCAACAGGTTTAGGTAGGTGAGGTGTGCTTGGTATGTAAATGACTTGCTGCAGAAACACATGTCTAGTCCTGTTCCAGTTCATATCACTCTATCATCCAACTTGGGAGAATTCTGATTCTGATTGTGATTGTTTATAATCTTACAGTTTGGGAATGCTGATAAAGGACATTTTGAAGTAACGCTTGGGTCACAACATTTGATGTGGGGAAAGGAGATCCAAGAATGGATCATGTTTACTTTGCATTGTCGTCCAACTCTGCTACACAACGATAGATGCTGCACCCCCCCCCCGATAGATCTCGCACCTTATATAGATTTGTATGCACATCCGTACAGCTGGAAAAATATGCAGATTATAAAGCTATGCCCTTTATGGTGAGAGTTCCAACTTGTGCTTTTCCTAATTATTCAATTGTGTCTTTCTTTTGCTTTGTCTTACAGGAAGGTGCATTTGCTCTGGTATTTAAAAGTGTTCATTTTCCGGCTCAGGCTGTGGGAACCAGGTAATGTTATCCCCCTCTTCCTTTGTGTTTTTTTTTTTTTTTTAATGGAAGTCGGTGGCTGTATCTTTCCTGTTTCTGTAACCATTAACTTGTATCTGCCTGTATTGCAGGAGAGGCAGCCCACTTCTGATGGGTATACGGAGTGAGCACAAGCTGGCCGCAGATCACATCCCCATATTGTACCGATCAGGTAAAACACCAGTCAGACCAATCATGATAGACGCGCTTCAGGCAAAGCTGCACAGGGATTCTTTGGCGTCTTCTGGGTTTGCCTGGAGTCCTCTATACAAACCAGTTTTGGCTCCAATGTTACATAAAATGTACCTGTTATCCATATGCAGTTGGACTTGTCTGTGGACACTGTATTGGGTAAAGTAAAATAATGCTATATTCTGGTATAGTCTGTGAGAGCTTCATAATTCCCCCCAAAAATCTGATGGATCTGTTCTGTAGCAACATGCTATGGGGGACATTTATTAACACAATTGCATCTCAAATGTGCTTGTTGCATGCAACGTGGTATTACTCTTTGGGTAGGTTTTGCTGCCAGTGATATATTTAGGGCTCATTCACATGACCACAGAGGGCCATACGTGTGTCAGTGTGTTGCAGGGTTTTCATGCAGCCTGTAAAAAAAAATCGGTGATAAGCTGACGGATGCAGCAGCTGAATGAATCTTCCTGCACGTTTGACCAACATCCATATAGGGACTAATGGATGGTCCTGAGTGCAGACAGGGCCTGCACAGATGTAAAGTTTCAATGTGTGGGAAGATGCACATAGCATCTCGGCAGCCTGTCACTGGTTTGCGTTTTTTCCCATGTATGGCCCTCTGTGAACGAGCCCTTAGTTTTGCATGATGATGTGGCTACTTATTAACTGTATACCTATTTTAAACAGTGGCAGATGTGTTCAGTGGGACATTTTATTATGCAGATTGTGCACAGAAAATGAATCTGTCGCTGACCTTTTTGAAAAATAAAAGATGAGACCGATTTAGCAACTGCAAACAGCAAGACCGTTTTGATAAATGTCCCCCAATGAGTTGCAACTCGGCTTAAACAGACCTGTGTAAGAATGCCGCTGGTCTATCAGCTAAGTACCATTGACCTCTCCAATGTCTTGACGTGCTAGATTGCATTCTTGACATGTCAGAAGTTCTGAACGTGTCTTGTTAATTCGGTGGAGTAAAAGCCATTAGTCTGCACTAAAAGCTGTGAACATACCCAGGCCGAATAGCTAACAATTGCTATGCATTTGACAGCGCCCTGACTTTTCCCTTTCAGCTCAAGCTGCCTGCTGTGTTTTTTTGAATACTTTAATGTCCGAATCTTCCAGTGTGCGGGAAAATTTCAGCCACCGGCACTGTGTGTTCCCAAATGCTCACTTTTGCTTGTTTGGTTCTAATACATTATCTGCTCATTGGAAGCAAACCTAATCTGTTGCATGTGCTGGAAAGCTAGGCATGTCTCCCCAAAGTGTTGTTGCATGAATTCATAACCAAAGATGATGCCGCTGTGTATACAGTCTGTCTTATTGTACAGTGTAAGCCAGTTGATTTTTGTCTAAGCTGCATTTCCTGTTACAATTGCTCCCCCCCCCCCATGTGATTGTAATGCAATGTTGTTTTGTCCTGTGCCTAGTCTGCTTTTTGTAATTTGGTAAACTGGCAGTACATACCAGGTGACCCTGACTGATGTATGTGACTGTATGCATTTCAGAACTCTGCAATGCATAGATTGCTGTGTGTTTGATGTGATTTTTCTGATTTTGTGCTGTCGCATTTTCTCATTGTCCTTTCAGCATCACAAAGCATCGATTATCCTCTAGAGGGAATATGCATAATAGAGAAAGAAGGTGCCTCGTCCAGCATCGTACTTCAATACTCCTCTCTTTCTAAAAAGAGACTGTATGCATATGATCTATTTATGCATCTGGTACTGTTTTCCATGCAGATTAATGCATGTGACTTTCAACAGATAATAGGAAATTATTGCATTCCCCCCACCCCTTCCAGTTGAGGATCCATTTGCACTTCTTAGCATCTCATTACAGACACTATGACTTTCACCCACTAGATGGCAGGATTGCTCCATCCAATCCCTGGATATGTGTATATAATGTGGTTAGAACCATTAACTGTGTCTACACATCACCCATATGGTTTGAATACCAGGGACCAGCTGTAATGTTTATGATCTACAGTTTTCCAGTTGAAGTGGTGTGTGTGTTTTAAGTGATCCTAAACCATAAACTCCTCCGTTTGGCAAACCTATTCTCTTTTTAAAATGGCTAATCAATTTTGGCTCCTGTTTTGGTTAGTCAAGTAACACCCTGACCCTATAGTTAGAAACTGATACAAGGAAAAGCAGAGGTGTCCATAGCAAACAATCTGATTTTGGCGTCCGCTATCTTCTAGCACCGGCTAAAAAATGAAAGCCGGACCTTATTAGTTGCTTTGCTCAAGGCTTCCTGTTGTAAGGTAACAATAGTGACTCACACACTCTATGCATATAGTATACACTGTTCTACATATCCCACTATATACATTCTGCCAACACACACACACTGCATGTTCCAGGCTTGCAGAGATGGAAACAGTACCAGAATAGATACAGTTTTCCACCCTTTACTGTCCATTCTGGGCCATATGTAATCCAAATTTCTTCTTTTTATTGCATTTTTCTCTTACTAAATTTAAGTGGATATGTAATCCATGGGAGCTAATCTTCATATTATGCTGCAAGCTTTATATTTACTGGCCTTTTCTTATGATGTGGTACGGGAGGGGCGAGCAGAGTTTTAACTCTTGGCATCTAGTTGTGTTTATACGCTCTCTATTGATCACAAAGTGAAATGCTCTGTTACCTAATGAGACCTGAAACTTTCCTGATCCCTAAAATAACAGAACATCTTGATGTACCTGAATCCGCATCTCTGTAGAAATAGAAGTAACTTAGTTGTGGTTTAAGATTTTGAATTCAGGTTCAGAGCCCAGTCACTGTCTAAGCTTCCAACGCCTGAACATTTAGCTTTTCTTCTATGCACTTTTAAGTTTTGAATTCCAAAAAGTCCAATTGTAGTGCGGTGATTGCTTACATTACTTTTATTTCATTTTTAGTCATTGTGAACTCACTAAGTATATCAGTTAAAGGCTGCTTTGCAGGGCTAGTGGGTTCCCAAATCCCAAGTTCAACACATTTGCGTAGAGTAAAATCAAAAAGCTAATAAGTACAAAAGCAAAATGCTGAATATCTTTTATAGTATGGTCTCGTATGGGGCTTCTTATTCTACAGGTAAATCCTAGTCACCACCGGCTTGTATTTAAAAGTGTATATAAAGGAAGGATAGCTTTTTGCACATAACAATCTAGGTGGTATCTCCCATACAGGGTTCTGGTGCAGTATCCAAAAAACCCCCCAAAACAGAGCGGCCACCCTGTGCAGTACTGATGAATATTTATTAATAGCAAATGTAGCGCTACTAACGCATCAATTGGACTCCAGGAATGGAATGATTAGTAAACAAAATCCAAACAAATTGCCACAATGCTCAGTCTGCGTTGCACAGATAGACTTCAGTTCTGCCCTGGACCCTTCCCATGGAACAACAAGATGCCAAAGGTAGACCTTTGCGACGCAACGGTACCACAACATAACTGTATGGTTGCTTGAATCTTCTCAGGGCCAAACTGTGCTTTATTCTTCCGCAGGCTGCATTTCCTCTGGCTGGGCTGAGATTTATCGGTCTAAGGACTCCTTTTGTCCCACTCTTCCCTGGTGCCCCTCCACACATTAATAACCCCTGTCTTGTTCACCTTTTACAGCTCTGGAGAAGAAAAGCAGCTGTTCCGTGCCCAGGATAGACAGCACCACTTGCCTCTTCCCTGTAGAAGAGAAGGCTGTGGAATATTACTTTGCATCAGATGCCAGGTGAGAACACCCTTTACCTTGGGTGTTTGTGGGTAAATTGTCATATTTATGATGTACAGTTACTGAACCTCTGGCCAGTCAAAGATGACTAAGTATTATAGAACTGGCTTTCTGACCATTTACATTTTTATTTGCAGAATTGTTAGTGATGTACGAGTACCGAAATGTATATTTCGCTACTTGCCAATACCGGTACTTCTGCTAGCATGGAGCCGGCATCCTGGGCAATCGGGAAGCCGGGCCGTCAGTCATTACCCGTGGCTCGGCCTCCTAATTGGCCAGGAAGCCAGCTCCATGTTCCCTCGTGGCACTGCAGATCAGAGGAAGTCTCCCTCTAAACGGGAGTTCCTGTATCTGGGCAAGGACAAGTACTAGCCCAAATACTCAGTATCGGCACATATGCCAGTACTGGTGCTTCCCTAATTATTGTCATTGTGTATAAATGTTAGCACTATGCTATATTTATTCAACATTACACTTATATGTACTACATTATGTATAAGCACAAATGAACATTGGTGTAATAGTGTGTCATATATGTCCTCTGTTAGTAACTCTGGTTACTATAGACAGTGGCATCATTTTTGCTCTATTACTTTTTTTTTTTCCCTTCAAATGCAATTGGGAGTATTTGTTAAACTAGTACATACAATTTTTGTATTGAATTCAACCCTCCAGTGTATATATAAGGGGCTGAACAAGAGAAATGGAGGGTATGTATGTATTTAACTGGGCCTTACACCAGTTGAATTTTGGCAAAGTCCTGCAGAAATTCGACCAGTGTTTGGCCCCCTTGGGACCACCCATTCGTCGTAGGAAGCGGTCCAAAAATTATTGGCAGGACAGCAACACCAGCCAGTCGGCTACAGTCACTGAATTTCCCAACAGCAGCAAACCCACCGCGGACAGAATACAATAGCATGACGGGAGGGGTGGGTATTCCCCCTTCCATGCTCTTATTATGGATGGTGGAGTGGTGGAATCGGACTTTTTTTTTCCCCTCCTCATTCGCCTCCACAATCAGTTTATTCCCGATCAGTGTATGGCCAGCCTTAGTCTGCTGCTGCTTGTACATTGTGCTTGTAGTAAACTGGGGTTCTATTATTTGCCAAGCTGTGCTGCTGCAGCACTTGACGTAGATGAGTTCTCTGTAAATCTAGCAGAGATGTCACAAAATTGGCTGCAACAATCACACTTTCCTTAGTGGGTGAAACGGTTCCCATATATGTATTTTACATTTTTATTTTTGCTGCCCTGTAGGATTAAGCAGTGCTGCTCTCATGTGCAGGGTAGTACAATTTTCTGTCCAAATGCAGCAAACCGTGGATGATGTTCAGTATGGTTTATTTAAGCAAAAAAAATGGACTCTCAATCTGTATAACAATACATCAATGTAAAAATTACACCACAAATAATCCAGCCTGTGAAAGCCGAATCAAAACTTCCTGCCACCATTTATTTTATAGTGCTGTCATCGAACACACGAACAGAGTCATGTACCTGGAAGATGATGATGTAGCTGCTGTTGTAGATGGTCGTCTCTCCATCCATCGCATCAAGAGAAGTGTTGGAGACCACCCAGCCCGTGCAATTCAGACCTTACAGATGGAGCTGCAGCAGATCATGAAGGGTAAGTGTTCTCTAAAGCAGAAGTATTAAAACATCCAGGCAACTTGCATCCTTAAAGGTCTACAATAGTGGCCCCATATTTCTTTAATGACAGGTGCACTTTAATGTAAACCTATCACTTAAATTTCAAACCTCCTGTGATTCAGTAGACAATTTGCCAGCAATACCAAGACTGCTCATCCCCCAGTTCCAAGCCTAGGCAGTCTAGATCACATGGTCTGTGTCTACCAATAATTATTTTAGAGCAGGTTTTAATTAGAAGTAAGATAAGAGGGTGAAAAGGCTTGCCCCGTGTACACAGGTAATTGCAGACTGCACATGGAAACAATGTCTTGTGCAAATTACACAGTTCTAATTCCCAACTTGGTATGGACCAATACTAGTATACTGGAATGTATAGGGAACCAGCACAAGGCACCAGGTATGCAGTGAAGAATAAATACACCTGTCACACTGAAAGGCTTCTTTATAGGATATCACAGTATCTGCTGATTTTATTGAATGAATAAAATATTCACACTTTCCTGTCTCTTGCTCTTGTTTGACTTACAGGTAACTTTAGCTCCTTCATGCAAAAAGAAATCTTCGAGCAGCCAGAGTCCGTAGTAAACACAATGAGAGGACGAGTCAATTTTGATGATCTGACAGGTAAGAACATCAGATCTTATGTGTTATACCTACTCCAAGTTGCCTGTACTCAAACGATGGCAAACCCGTAAATAATAAAGGCGTAGCTGTTCCTGAGTCTTAGGGTTGAGGTATACACCCCACGATTTTCAGTAAATAAAAATAAAAAATAAAATAAAACCTATAGTAATTTCATGTTTTTGTATTTCATTTTTTTAACAGTAAATTTGGGAGGTTTGAAAGATCACCTCAAAGAAATTCAAAGATGTCGAAGACTAATTCTCATTGCCTGTGGAACCAGTTACCATGCTGGAGTTGCTGTAAGTATTCATTACCTTTTAGTAATATGAACACTCAAACGTTTTCTATATTCTGTTTTAAGGGTAAAGAAGCAATCATTAAGTGCCTTTTGGTTCTGGTTGTTATTTTGCCAGGGACACTCTCTACATGGAGTATGCCCTTCCTATGTTTTGGGGAGTTTCCTCGAGGTTTACATTTTTTTTTTTCTCCCTACAATCCAAAAACATACTGACAGCTTTATTGGCTTCTCTTTCAAAATGAGTGGATGATAGTGAGTACCTAATGCAAATAGTTCTATATACTCCAAACCACAGTATAATATACACACGCACACTAAGTATTTATCTGGATAGAGTAGGGCAGGGGTGGGCAACTTTGGCACGCCAGTTGTTGTGGTAATTAAAAGTCCCATGAGGCATTGCAAGGGTCAAAAAGACTAAAAGCCACAAGCATGACTCGGGTAGAGAAATTATGGGGTTTGTAGATTTACTGCAGATTGAGTGCCAAGGTTGCCTACGCTAAAGTAGGGAATGGTAAAAACTAGGGATGCACCGATATATCGGCCGCCGAAACATACTGGCCGAAAATGGCACTTTCCTTAAATGCTGAAAGTGCCATTTTCCTGCCGATACATCGGCACATCCCAGGTTTCTTGAATCCCTACTGGGCGCTGCTCTGTGTCCCAGCAGGGAGGAGAGAAAGTGACAGCCGGCCGAGCGCTGTGAGCGGCCGGTGTCTCCTCCCACACCGCTCAGCCACCTATCGCAGTCCGGCAGAGCGGTGTGGGGGGCGCCGACAGTCCGCGCTGTCGCAGGAGGCTGGGCTCTCCTCCCTGCTTTGCTCGCTCAGCCTCCTGTGACTGCTGTCAGGATGGAGAGCGAGTGCAAAGACTCAGCGATCGCTGAGTGTTTGTAAATAATTGAGGACATGGTATGTTGACTATATCCTCAATTCTAACTGAATGGGAAGTGATCTACATCACCTCCTGTTCATTCATAGTTGTAGTAAACACACTCTGTCATGTTATGAATGAACAGGAACACTCAGTATAGAGATTCCTTTTCATTTATAACAGGGGCTGCAGAAAAAGAGAGAGGACTCTGTGTTCTCAAGCTCTTTTTTAAAAGGGAAATATCAGGGGTCTGTTTAGACCCCTAATATTTCCCCAAAGCCCCTAAAAATAAAGTAAAAAAATAAATCTATTTAAAAAATGAATTCATAAATAAAAATATAAAGTTTATAAAAAAAAAGAAAAATACAATATTACATTTGAAAAAATTAAAATATAAAAACATTTTCGGTTTCGGCCTGACAATTTTTTTTGTTTCGGTTTTAAAATTTCTAGTTCAGTGCACCTCTAGTTAAAACCCTTACTGTTTTAAGTTTGAGTCCTTCTCTCCTTGTCTCCGTGTGTTCCTTCTCTTCTATCCAAGCAGAAAAGGAGAGCTCTCAAAAGGAAGGGAAATCTTTTAGACAGTTGTCACTGGAACAAGTGTCCCCATTTGGATTTACAAAATGTTGGATTTTCTTTTCTCTTTCAGTCCTGTTTGTATTGGTTATCGGCACAAATAAAGGGGGTGAAGCTCCCTAGTGGGGACAGGGACGGCATTAAAAACCTCATGGGTTCTCACCCTTTATTTCATCCAGAACAGAAAAATTCAATTTTGCTGTAGATATGCTTTAAGGTGCTTACAGATGTTAAGGATCATTACAAACTTTTATTAATGCATTAAAGTCACCTGCTGTTCCAGACAAAAAAAACTAACCCTTATAAACAGTTCGCCATATTAATCATGTCCTTGTATCCTCCCTCCAGACACGTCAGATCCTTGAGGAGCTCACAGAGCTTCCAGTCATGGTGGAATTGGCTAGTGACTTCCTGGACAGGAGCACTCCTGTATTCAGAGACGATGCGTGCTTCTTCATCAGTCAGTCAGGTATGGTATTCTTATAGTCTGGCAATTTCATGATAATCTGTGTCATCTGATATACATGAACCTTTCTCTAAAAGCATATACCAATAATCTCATGGTTTGATCTTTTAATGAGAATCTGTGTCATCTGATATACAGAATGCCTGGTATGTCAAAGTTCTGCTAAATAGACCTTTTGTGAAAAGATCTATAGATGATGAAATCACAAAATACTAATCTTTTATTACATTACGGTTGCAAAATTGCTATTTAGAAGAGATACCTTACTATTACTGTTAGTGATAGCTGAGCTGAAAATAGTTAAACCCCACTGCGATAACTATCTGTGGTTGTCCATGGATTGTTGGGTCACTATGAACCGCCTATGAGATGTAAATCTCTGATGATCCATGGCATAATGTCCTTGTCTCTGTACAAAAATGAACCCCTCCACCCAGCAGGTGCCAACACTTTAAAGGAGAATTATGGGGTTAGGGCTTTCCCCCATGGTTCTCCTAAGGGTAACGGGAGGACACAAACTAGCGTCCTCTCATCACCCAAAGCTCAGTATACCGCAAGCTACAGCTCGCGGTATACTGAGATGCCACAGCTGGAACGGATCCCCACAATTCTGTCTGGATCCACCCAGCTGCGTGAGTGACAGCTGGCTCTGCCTATCTAGAGGCAGAGCCAACTGTACCCGCCCCCTCCCCTGTCCGTTCCGCCAGTCAGCGCTGGAGGATCAGACAGGGGAAGGGGGGAATCCATGCAGGGAGCTGTGAGTGACAGTCACGGCTCTCTGCAGGGGTAGATCGAGAAGTAAGCGAGTGCCGGTATGTGTTCACTCCCCGGTCTACTGAGCCGACCTGTGACCGTTTCATTGTCACAGGTCGGCTCAGATTATGAGGCTGAGTGAAAATCACTCGCCTCATAATTCTCCTTTTTCTGGAGTTCTGATCTCCAGAGGTAGGTAGGTGGGGCCCTGATTATGGGGCCACTGTGATGAGCTGTCACAGTGGTCATGTTATCAGGAACTTGTCCTACCTGCTCTCGATTGTAAACCTTAACTGGGAACGGTCGGTGACAGCTCAGTTACAGTGCTGTGGGTGCCGAGGCAGCGCACTCCCAGCACAAAGCAGCGACGCCAGCTGTTAACGCATATATGTGGCAGCTTAGCCGTAAAGTCTGCCTCCATGCTGCCACATGTGTGCATGCAGCCAGTAGAAATGGGCTAAAGCAAAGGGATATAAAACTATAACTCACAGCCACCAATCAGAGCTTGCTTTGTATTTGTGTAGCCATTGCCTGCTGTGGGTTACACCTGCCGTTTCCCTTTCCTTATGTTTTTCATATGTACACCTCCCTGTGCAGGACCTTCAGTATGAGTGGCTAAGTATCCATCCAGATCTCTGTTGGACCTGCTGTATTGTAAGAGAAAAGATGTGGTATCCATAGTAAATACTTAGAATCCAGCTCGTGACTCATGTTTTAAATGGGAGAAAACACAAAAATGACATGATTAGTTACTGTAGAAACTCAATTTTTCTTTTGTGCACATTTGAATTAAGTCATCGTGATTCTGTTTTGTCTTCATTCAGGAGAGACGGCAGATACTCTTCTTGCATTGCGTTACTGCAAAGAACGGGGAGCACTGACAATGGGGGTCACTAACACCGTTGGAAGCTCCATTTCAAGGGAGACAGACTGTGGTGTCCACATTAATGCTGGGCCTGAGATTGGTGTGGCCAGCACAAAGGTGAGCACTGGTGTGACACAAAATAGGGTGGTGTAAAGCTGGCATCGCACCTATACAATCTCCTCCGCTGTGTGTGTGTGTGTGTGTCAGTCAATGGAGGGGGAAACCAAAGACCTGAATACGATGGCATTAAAAAAACAAGTTTGTATTGAAGGTGACTGCCAGAGAATTGATTATCTGTTTTATGTATTTGATGGCTGTCTGTTCTCGTATGCACTGGATGAAACCCAAATATCTGAAATAGAATGGGAGAGGCAATGCACATAAATCTCCCCTTACTCTGACAGATGTGACAATGTTAGATTGGAGTGTGAGGTTTACCAGATGCTTTCTTGTTCTACCAGGCATACACCAGCCAGTTTGTGGCACTGGTCATGTTTGCACTTATGGTTTGTGATGACCGTATATCTATGCAAGATCGCCGCAAGCAAATTTTACACGGTCTGAAAATGCTGTCGGGTAAGAATTAAAGACATAAATAATGCAACCACATATTACTTGTACTTCTTTTTTTTTTTTGTATATTTATTTATATATATATTTTGCCCATAGTTCTTCTAAGGGGTCACAGGAGGACATAAACTAGCGTCCTCCCGTGACCCAAAGCTTGGTATATCGCAAGCTACAACTCGCGGTATACTGAGACTGCCACATCCGGGACGGATCCCGACATTACTGTCGAGATCCACCCAGCTGGGTGAGTGACAGCGGGCTCTGCCTATCTAGAGCCAGAGCCAGCTGTGCCCGCCCGCTCCCCCGTCCGTTCCGCCAGTCAGCGCTGGAGGATCGGAGAGGGAGGGGGTGAATCCTTGCAGGGAGCCATGAGTGACAGACTGCTCTCTGCAAGGACAGGATTGAGAAGTCCGCGGCGACGGTATGCGTTCTCTCACTTCCCGATCTATTGAGCCAGCGTGTGGCAGTTTCGTTGTCACACGTCGGCTCGATCAATGAGGTTGAGTGAAAATCACTCACCTCATAGTTCTCTAAGTCCATAATTTTGCTGTGTGTATACTGCGTCACTTCTCTTGTATGAAGCCAATTCTAAGCAGTAGATAAAATCAGTCTGTTTTGCTACTCGCTGATTGTGTCATAGAATTACACCTCATCAGTCATAACTTGCATTCTAACCTGAAGGCCAGGGATGGTACCTGCATATATGGTGTTGTTTTTGTTTCCTTTTGACATTTTTGTCTTTTTTTTTTTTTTTTTTTTAACGGTGTCAGACAACATTAAGGAAGTACTTAGCCTTGATGACGAGATTCAGAAGCTGGCAGCTGAACTGTACCAACAGAAGTCTGTGTTGATCATGGGCCGTGGATATCACTATGCAACCTGCCTGGAAGGCGCCTTGGTAGGTTGAAGCCCCTCACGTTTTCCTTGTCATCAGTTTCCTGCCTGTGGAGTTATTGTGGCAATATCTAAAGCTGTACTTTGCTAGATCATCACTATGGTGTCCTTCTCAGAATAAATGTCTTCTGTGGATTAAAGTGGTAACCGCTCTTAACTAATAGAAAAACAGGATCATTTTTCATAAAGAGCTGATAAGATCTCTAAGTTAAGCTGGGTACACACGGAGATTATATATA